AGGAAAGTGTGATTCATTCCTATGCCACCAGTCTGTTCTGATCCTCAAGGAGACACATGTGTGGTTTGTACTTGGGGGACAGAGTATAGAGCAGACACAATCCCTATCCCTTGCATTGAGCTCCCAGTGTCTGTGAGGAGCAAGACAAATACACGAAACCATCTGGAAGTGATATAAATTACCAAGCTTATTGCTATCCAAAAGTTGAAAACAGAGATCAGGTTGGGAAAGATGTACTCCAATCCCTCTGGTGCTCTTCCCCTTGCATTGTGACCCTCAGTTTGCCCTATTCCTATTTTATAGATCTAGAACTTTGGGGAAGAGGGGGAACCTTTTGCCTTTAGGACCCTTGACTACCAGGACCAATATTGCTTTCTTTTCTCCTTCCCTCTAGGATGTCAAAAGTACCCTGGAAAAGTAAGTGATTCTTGCATCTCTTTGAGTGAGTTAGGTCTTGGCTTAGAAACCAGGGGTATAGTAAGGAGTTAGGGGAGAAGGATGGGAAAGTCACACAGTGTCTGGGTAGGATGTGGGAGAAGGTTCACTGCATCCATGAAGCCTGTTACAGAGCAAATCATTGGGAGTAAGGGTACATTACCATTTCCCCATTGAACATCAGGACTAACTTGGTAAAGAAGAAACCAAGGTAATGTAGAACCAGAATCTACCTGTGCCCATGGGTGGAAATGTGTCCAAACAAGACAGACAAGGGAAAGGGTTTGGGAGAGTGGGAAGGGTGATTACCCATTTGCATGAAATATAGCAATACTCCCAGAGAGTTGAGACTCATTCTTAAAATAAGACTGTCCAGGGGACCCTATGGCTCTCCATAGATTGGCAAAAGAAACCAATAAGTGAGTACTTGTCTTCAGGGAGGAGGGAGAAAGTGGGAGGATGGAGAATTTTAGTTTCTCCCTAAAGATGACAATATCTGCATACTCACTCAGCTGGAGCTTCCCCTGACCCTGCCCTTTCTTCCCCTATCTCCCTATCCCTCCTAGATGTGAGAAGGTGAAGACCATGGAGGTGACTTCAGTGTCCATAGAGCTGGAAAAGAACTTCAGCAATTTCCCCCGACAGTACTTTGCCTTAAGGAAAATCCTTAAACAGCTAATTGGTGAGTTGTTCCCAAAAATAAACTAGCAGAGGAATTCAGCAGAGAAGAAAGTCTTTAAAGTCCCACTTTATCTGGGCTTCAAGTGTACCATCTGTCACTTTGTGCCCATGGCCACACCCACCCCTTTACCTGGCTTTCAGTCTCACTGTGAGTGACAGAGCTTAGGTGTCATCTACTCTTAGGCCCACACCTTTCTAAATAGGGATCCAGAGAAGTTAAATAATATGCCTAAACTTGTCCCTTTTTGAGAATGAGAGGGAGTATCAGAGAAATAATTAATCAGAGAAATATTTACTCAGAGAAAATAGTCACAAACCAGGACTGTTAAGGAAACCAGATACATGGTCACTCTATCCCTGGACCATACTGCTGTCTTGCTGTATATCCGTCTTAACATTTTCTGTCCTTTCTGGCCCCTGGACTGTGACTTGTGCTTCATCACACAGTGATATGATATCAGAGGGGGATGAAGAAGGGATAAGGCAGGAGCATAAACCATCAGCCCTTGCAGAATTGAGGTTATTATCTGTTTACTTTAGGGCCAGGGTGAGAAGAGAAGCCATTGTTCCCTCCTCTCCCTTAGGTGACAGTGTGGATTGAGAAAGTTAATCAAACCATGATGTTCTGGGGACCTTTAAGGAAACAAGTTCTGTAAAGGCAGGCTGGAAGAGTAAGGCAGGGGCATTTAGCTATTCCCATCCTCATCTAGCTCCCCACTCTGGCTTCTCCCGCCAGCGGATGTGACCCTGGACCCAGAGACTGCTCACCCTAACCTAGTCCTGTCGGAAGATCGTAAGAGCGTCAAGTTTGTGGAGACAAGACTCCGGGATCTCCCTGACACACCACGGCGATTCACCTTCTACCCTTGTGTCCTGGCTACTGAGGGCTTCACCTCAGGCCGACACTACTGGGAGGTGGAGGTGGGTGATAAGACCCACTGGGCAGTGGGCGTGTGCCGGGACTCTGTGAGCCGAAAGGGCGAGTTGACTCCACTCCCTGAGACTGGCTACTGGCGGGTGCGGCTATGGAATGGGGACAAATATGCAGCCACCACCACGCCTTTTACCCCTTTGCACATCAAGGTGAAACCCAAACGGGTAGGCATATTCCTAGATTATGAGGCCGGCACACTGTCTTTTTACAATGTCACAGACCGCTCTCATATCTACACCTTTACTGATACTTTTACTGAGAAACTTTGGCCCCTCTTCTATCCAGGCATTCGTGCTGGTCGGAAGAATGCTGCACCACTTACAATCAGGCCCCCAACAGATTGGGAGTGACAAGTAGGGATGTGGGAATAATTGGGGTGAGTCAGGGTCAAGAGCTATGGGCCTTCCTTCCTGTGACCTGCTGGAACGTCTTCATGTCTGCCTGGTTCCAGTCCTGCACTGTTTAGGAGAAGCACCTTGGTTTCTAGAATGGTTTATATGGAGGAGTAGGTAGGACTGGTCTGGGATGAGCGCACAGCTGTCTCTCTCCTAACGGTCAGGGTGGGGAGCTAGTTCCCAGGGGTTGTCTCCCCTTGAAGTCCATCAGGTTTTCTATTGCACATGGATAAGTTAGGAAGGAAGGAGAGGCTTTTCCAGTAACAAAAAGTCTGTGAGAGGGTCTGACTTGCTCAAAACCAGAAGAGGAAACAGAAACCCCTGTACATTCTTTTAAGGGGTTCTTATTTGTTGAGAAAGATCAGAGGGGTCTGTGTACCTCTAGACTAAAATAAAGATGAATGATAGTTGCTCTCGTGGGTTTAGAAGTTAAGGAGGTGTTTTGTTTTTTTGTTTTTTGTTTTGTTTTGTTTTTTTTTTTTTTGAGGGCAGAGATTGGGCATCAGGACGATTAGAAAGAAAGTTGGGAAAGGGGCTAAAGGAACAGATTCCTAACAGGGTTTCTTTGGTCTTCCATTCCCAGAGTAAGTTGCCATTATGAGTAGGATTGGCCAGAGGTAGGAATGTGGGGAGGAGAGGGTGAGAAGAAAGGAGAGGAGAACCCAAGTCCCTGCCTCAGGCTTCAGCAAAGCTGGCTTATTGCGTCTCTCCTTAGAGTTGGTTGTCTCCAAGAAGAGGTCAGTCACCTTTCTCCTGCAGAGGTGAGGTGCCAGAGATCCCTCAAGACAAATCTACCCTTTCACTGCTTTCCCAAGGGAACCTGGAAAGGACAGTCAGGTATTAGAGGAAAGAGAAAGGTATTTCTATCCAAAGCCCTGCCTTAAAGAATGTTACTAAGTAGCTGCTCCCAAGTTGTCAGCCTTGTTACTTGGCTAAGGTGTCTAAGCCAAAAAGGGAGAAGGAAAATGGAGTCTTCCTCACCCTGAAGACAGGGTAGAAGACAGGGTATGTAGAGCGAAGGGTCACTTAGGCACCTTCCTTTAGCCTATGTTCATATGGCCTGGAACTAGTGTTCACAAGAGCCAGTCTTTTGCTTATTTGTTGCCATCCTTCACCTTTTGCCATTTCCCCTATCAGAGAATGTAAATCATTTTAACATTAGGCCAAAATAAACAACTTGTAGGGTACATATGTTGTCAAAAAAGGTTAAAGTGATGCATGCAAACCAAACTAAAATGATTTGGAATATCTGCTACTTGGGTGATCAGGGATTCACAGAAGATTGGGACAAGAAACTGCAGTTTATTGAGGGTGTTTCACTTCCTCCTACCACCTCAACAGGACTTTGTCCAGACTCTCCTCTTACCTTTGTGCCTTGACTGTGGTTCTTTGTGGCAAGATGCTTTGGTTGGTAAAACATAATATGGAACAAAGGATCCACTGAAGTGATCTCTGTGTTGTGTGGTAATTTGACGATGGCCTTGTGTTGATATGTAAGAATCACTGATGTTAAAAGTGCATGTTCTTGGGGTTACCCTCAGTGATTGATCGAAGTGTGGGATGGGCCTGGGCCTCTACATTTTAAACATACTCCTCATTTGAATTTAGGGACCCTTGTGAAATTAATCCCAGAGGAGGTTTGGGCCATTTCTTCTGAGCTGATGTTCTGGTTCACTGCCTGGCCTGATGGGGTTTGAGAAGGGAGAGAGGCCTCATTCTCTCCTGACTTAATGCTGCCCTCTGCCTGTCTCAGGGGTCATTCATCTTATGCCCTTCCCCACATTCCTCTACTTTTGACCTCAGGAAATGGTGGTCATTAACTCTGAGACAAAGATAAGCACAGGATGTCAAACAGAACAAACAGGAGACTGAGGTCAGATTAAGGGATATGAAATATATGCCTTGGGTAGAGGTCTGGGGGAGGGGAGAGTTTTGGAGACAGGAGATGATGTCAAAAGTTTCTGCGCTCCAGTACCTAAGACTGGGAGTTAGCTAGGATCACCTACCATGTGTCTAGCACTGTATGACAGGAAGTGTTTTTGGGGTAAGTGGAAAATAATGGGAATAAGCTGTGCTTCCCTCCCTCCACCACCCTCAGGATCCTTTCCAATTCACTGGTACCAGTGCTTTTTTTGAATCTATAACTTCTGTTTCTTCGGTCTGTAGATCTTCCAGGCATCTATCTGCCTTTGGCTTGTGGAAAGTAGGGAAGAAGTTCTAGCTGGGTATAAATTGCGCATAACCATCTCCCCAGCCTATCTACATAAAGAGACCAGTCTTCTGTCCTGAAGATTTCCCAGATTAAGATTATCTCCTGTTCCACTAGCCTTTCCTACCTAGTACAATTGATCATGGGCTTGAGGAAGACTAGAAGAAAGCCAAAACTCAAAAAGGCACCCTAGGCTTGGATTGCATGGATGGGTATGGGTTTACAAACAGCTAGGTCTGTGAGGCCACAGGGTGGCGCCAGAGTAAGGCTCTCGGGGAGAGACTTGCGGGCCCAGGAACTACACTTCCCAGGAGGCCTTGCGCAGGCGCCTGAGGCGGAGCTATCGGAGGGGCGGGACCTGCGGACGCTCTCTTGTGAGGCGCTTGTGCAGCCGAGAGTAGATGGCTGGGCCAGTGAAGGACAGAGAGGCCTTTCAGAGGCTAAACTTCCTGTACCAGGCAAGTCCGTCGGGGCGTTTGGGGAGGCAACTGAGTTTGGCTGGCCACCGAGTGACGGTTTCCCTCCCCTAGGCCGCCCACTGTGTCATTGCGCAGGACCCCAAGAACCAGGCGCTGGCGAGGTTTTACTGCCACACGGAGAGGACCATCGCAAAGCGGCTGGTCTTGCGGCGGTGAGAAATTCCGGGAGCCTGGGGGCGGGCGGGACGTGGGAAGAACGGGGAAAGTGAGCGCGGGCGCTCGGATCACCATCCTCCTCCGCCTTCAGGGACCCCTCAGTGAAGAGGACCCTCTGTCGTGGCTGCTCTTCCCTTCTCATCCCTGGCCTCACCTGCACCCAGCGTCAGAGACGTGAGTGCTCCTCCTAACGTGGGGTGATTGAGGAGAACCAGTGGTCTAGGGAGGGGATCCCCTTCCTCGCTTTAGATGGGCGTCTGGCGTGGAATTTGCAGCAGCCGGCATTTTCCAGCTTTGGGTTAAATTGCTAACTCATCTTGGACAAACTAAGATCTGGGCAATAGGGAAATAATGTTGCCATAAAGAGGTAACCCACCCATACATAATAATGGGTGTTATTTTGCATTGTGGAGCACAGGATTCACATCACTGTTCATTCATTCATACAACAAATACTGATTTTTCTAAGGTGTATCAAGTATTGTATGAGATCCACTATTCTCATTGAAATTATAGTCTGAACAGACTAAGAAACAATTAAAATAGTGTAGAAAATGCTTTAATTAGGGAGGTAACATGCTAAATTACTTATACTAGTAGTGGTGAAGTTCATGATAAGCAAAAGAAGTGAAGATATGGAAATTCTAGTCATGTGTGAGGACTCTGAGACAAGAGAGCTCGTGATGCTGTCAAGGAGACCAGAGTTCAGGAGCCTAGAGTTTGAGGTAGGCAAGGACAAAGCATGAGGCTGGAGAAGGAAACAGGCAGATCTTAAGGAAACTTCTTAAGGACTTTAGACTTTGTCTTAAAAGATACAAAAAAATTGATGGACTCTAAGCAGGGGTAAGACACCTCAAATTGGTATTCAGTTGGGGAGGGTTAGAATTTCTACTGAAAAAGAGTGGAAGCAAAAACTGGATGAAGGATAGCTTTTCTTCTCCTAAACCTGGGCACTCTTTCCCCACTCCACCCCCACTTACACCCTAGGATGCAAGGGACAGCGCTGGACAGTACAGACCTGCCTAACATGCCAGCGAAGCCAACGGTTCCTCAATGATCCTGATCATCTGCTCTGGGGAGACCGGCCTGAGGCCCAGCTGGGGAGCCAGGCAGGTGAGAGGTTTGTAGAGAAAAACTGAGGATACTCCAGGAAGATTGGAATGATGGGGGACATAGATCTGAAGAGGTTACACAGGTGGATTCTAGGTTGCTAGATGCCACAGTGTTATAAAACTCAAATTCTCATCTACCCAGATCCCAAATTGCCACAACCCCTGCCAAACACAGCCCACCCCATTTCACCCCACCTCCGTGAGGAAAAAGTGCAGCATCAGAGCTCCAGTCACCAGTGATGGATTCACCTTATCTTCGAAATAAAGTATAATGATGTCTCACTTTGTGTGATTCTGTGAGTATTTCAACTCTTCATTCTACTTTCTTCTCTTTCAGTTTGTATTTCTCTGTCACTGGCCAACCTCTTTGCCTTTACCATGTTCATATTCCTACAATTCGGGAAGATCCTGATTTCTATAAACCACTTGCCCACTGAGCAGCTTCCATTTCCAGGCTACTGACTGGGTACTGACCCAGTGCTCCTTCATCCCTGCTTCCACACTGCAATGCCACATTTGGAACTCAGGATCCTGGGTTGTTGGCAAGAGCTTGAGCCTTCATAGAATATTTCTTTGTTTAGGTAGCCCTGACTATTGATTAAAAGGCTAAACAGACTGCTGATACCACTGATGTTGTTTTTAGACAAGGAAAAAAAGGTTAGGGGGTCAGAATACCTTCAGATCCTCTAGGCTTACTCATAGCTGATCTTTCCCAATCTCTTGGTTTTCTTCGATAAAAATCTAATATGGGAAGTCATACAGACTTGAACTAACAAGGTCAAAGGTGACAATGAAAGGGCACTGGTGGACACTACACAAGTATAAACCCTAAGGATTTTCCTGAGAACGAGTACACAACAAAAATTATTTTATTTGATGTCCCTAGGGAGCTTACTCAAAGACAGAATTTCAAACTGACTTCTTCCTAGGTGCCAGCTAATGAGTTTACCTCAAAGATACACAAACAAAATTCACTATTTACAGACAATTTTCTTCCTTCTATTTCTTTTTTTAATTTTTTATTTTAAATGTTTGTGTATGTATGTATTTATGTATTTATTTATTTTATAGTTTATTGTCAAGTTGGTTTCCATATAACACCCACTGCTCATCCCAACAAGTGCCCTCCTTCATGCCCATCACCCCCATTCCCTTCTCCCCCACCCCCATCTACCTCAATTTGTTCTCAGTATTTAAGAGTCTCTTATGGTCCCCTTCCCCTCCCCCACGATCCTCTGTTAAGTTTATTCTAATCCACATATGAGTGAAAATATATGGTATCTGTCCTTCTCTGCCTGATTTATTTCACTTAGCATAACACCCTTGAGTTCCATCCATGTTGCTACAAATGGCCAGATTTCATTCTTTCTCATTGCCATGTAGTATTCCACTGTATAGATAAACCACATCTTCTTGATCCGTTTGTCAGTTGATGAACATTTAGGCTTTTTCCATGATTTGTCTATTGTTGAAAGTGCTGCCCCTATGCATCAAGATTCCTGTATCCCTTGAGTAAATTCCTAGCAGTGCTATTGCTGGGTCATACGGGAGTTCTATTGTTAAATTTTTTGAGGAACTTCCACACTGTTTTCCAGAGGGGCTGCACCAGTTTACATTCCCACCAACAGTGTAGGAGGGTGCCCGTTTCTTCTCATCCTAGCCAGCATCTATAGTCTCCCGATTTGTTATTTTTAGCGACTCTGATTGGCATGAGGTGGTATCTCAGTGTGGTTTTGATTTGTACTTCCCTGATGATGAGTGACATTGAGCATCATTTCATGTGTCTGTTGGCCACCTGGATATCCTCTTTGGAGAAGGGTCTGTTCATGTCTTCTGCCCATTTCTTTGCTGGATTATTTGTTTTTTTTGGGTGTGGAGTTTGGTGAGTTCCTTATAGACTTTGGATACTAGCCATTTATCCAATATGTCATTTGCAACATATCTTTTCCTATTCCATCGGTTGCCTGTTAGTTTTATGGATTGCTTCTTTTGCCATGCCGAAGGTTTTTATCTTGATGAGGTCCCAATAGTTCATTTTTGATTTTGATTTCCTTGCCTTTGGAGATGAGATGAGTAAGAAATTGCTGCAGCAGAGGTCAAGGAGATTGTTTCCTGCTTTCTCCTCTAGAGTTTTGATGGTTTCCTGTCTCACGTTCAGGTCCTTCATCCATTTTGAGTTTATTTTCATGTATGGTGTAAGAAATTGGTCTAGTTTCATTCTGCATGTTGCTGTCCAGTTCTCCCAGCACCATCTGTTAAAGAGGCTGTCTTTGTCCATTGGATACTCTTTACGCTTTGTCAAAGATTTGTTGGCCGTACATTCTGGGGTCCAATTCTGAGTTCTCTATTCTATTCCATTGGTCTATGTCTGTTTTTGTGCCAATACCATACTGTCTTGATGATAAGCTTTGTAGTAGAGGCTAAACTCTGGGATGGTGATGGCTCCTGTTTTGGTTTTCTTCTTCAATATTACTTTGGCTATTTGGGGTCTTTTGTGGTTCCATACAAATTTTAGGATAGTGTGTTCTAGCTTTGAGAAGAATGCTGGTGCAATTTTGATTGGGATTGCATTGAATGTGTAGATTGCTTTGGGTAGTAATGACATTTTTAACAATATTCATCCGATCCATGAGCATGGAATGTTTTTCCATTTCTTTGTGTCTTCTTCAATTTCCTTCATAAGTTTTCTGTAGTTTTTAGTATACAGATCTTTTACATCTTTGGTTAGGTTTATTCTTAGGTATTTTATGTTTTTTTGTGCAATTGTGAATGATATCAGTTTCTTGAGTTTTCTTTCTGTGGCTTCATTATTGGTGTATAAAAATGCAACCGACTTCTGTACATTAATTTTGTACCCTGCGACTTTGCTGAATTCATGGATCAGTTCTAGTAGACTTCTGGTGGAGTCTGTCACGTTTTCCATGTAGAGAATCATGTTTCTGCAAAAAGTGAAAATTTGACTTTATCTTTGCTGATTCTGATGCCTTTTATTTTCTTTTGTTGTCTGATTGCGGATGCTAGGACTTCCAGCACTATGTGAAACAACAGTAGTGATAGTAGACATCCCTGTCGTGTTCCTGATCTCAGGGGGAAAACTCTCAGTTTTCCCCATTGAGAATGATATTAGCTGTGGGCTTCTCATAAATGGCTTTTATGATGTTTAAGTAAGATCCTTCTATCCCGACTTTCTCGAGGGTCTTTATTAAGAAGGGATGCTCTATTTTGTCAAAGGCTATTTCTGCATCTATCGACAGGTTCATATGGTTTTTATCTTTTCTTTGGTTAATGTGATGTGTCACATTGATTGATTTGCAAATATTTAACCAGCTGTGTAACCAAGGCTGAATGAATGAATCCCACTTGATCATTGTGGATAATTCTTGCTGTTGATTCGATTTGCTAGTATCTTGTTGAGGATTTTTGCATCTGTATTCATCAGGGATATTGGCCTGCAATTCTCTTTTTTTGCTGGGTCTCCGTCTGAATTGGGAATAAAACTGATGCTGTCTTCGTAGAATGAGTCTGGAAGTTTTCCTTCGATTTCTATATTTGGGAACAGCTTGAGAAGAATGGGTATTAATTCTGATTTAAATGTCTGGTAGAATTCCCCAAAAAAGCCATCTGGCCCAGGGCTCTTATTTGCTGGGAGATTTTTGATAACTGATTCAATTTCTTCACTAGTTATGGATCTGTTCAGATTTTCTATCTCTTCCCATTTGAAATTTGGTGGTGTGTGTTTAGGAATTTGTCCATTTCTTCTAGGTTGTCCAGTTTGTTGGCATATAATTTTTTGTAGTATTCCCTGATAATTGCTTGTATTTCTGAGGGGTTGGTGTAATAAGTCCATTTTCATTCATAATTTTATCTATTTGAGTACTCTCTCTCTTCTTTTTGAGAAGCCTGGCTAGAGGTTTGTCAAATTTTGTTTATTTTTTTAAAAAACCAACATTTGGTTTCATTGATCTGTTCAAGTGTTTGTTTTTTTTTTTTTGGTTTCTATATTGTTTATTTCTGCTCTGATTTTTATTCTTTCTCTTCTTGTACTGGGTTTGGGATGCTCTTGTTGCTCTCCTTCTGGTTCCTTTAGGTGCGTTGTTAGATTTTGCACTTGCACTTTTTCTAATTTTTTGAAATAGGCCTGGAGTGCAATGTACTTTCCTCTTAGGACTGCCTTTGCTGCATCCGATAAAGTTAGGGTTGTTGTATTTTCATTTTCATTTGTTTCCATATATTTTTTTAATTTCTTCTCTAATGCCTGATGGGCCCATTCGTTCCTTAGTAGGGTGTTCTTTACCCTCCATGTTTTTGGAGGTTTTCCAGACTTTTTCCTGTGGTTGACTTCAAATTTCACAGCATTGTGATTTGAAAGTGTGCATGGTATGATCTTAATTCTTTTATATTTATTGAGGACTGCTTTATGACCCAATATTTGATCTATCTTGGAGAATGTCCCATGTGCACTCGAGAAGAAAGAGAATTCCATAGCTTCAGTATGTAGAGTTCTAAATATGTCTGTCAAGTCCATCTGGTCAAATGTGTCATTCAAGTTCATTGTTTCTTTAGTGATTTTCAGTCTAGTTGATCTATCCATTGCTGTAAGTGGCGTATTAAAGTCTTCTGCAATTCGCACATTCTTACCAATAAGACTGTTTCTGTTTGTGATTAATTGTTTTATGTATTTGGGTGCTCCTGAATTCGGTGCATAGACATTTATAATTGTTAGCTCCTCCTGATGGATAGATCCTGTAATTATTACATAATGCCCTTCTTCATCCCTTGTTACTGCCTTAACTTTAGAGTTCAGTTGGTCTGATATAAGTATGGCTACTCAAGCTTTTTTTTGACTTCCAGTAGCATGATAGATATTTCTCCATCCCCTGACATTCAATCTGATGGTGTCCTCAGACAGCAAATAGATGGGTCTTGTTTTTTTATCCATTCTGCTTCCCTGTGTCTTTTGATTGGAGCATTTAGTCCATTTACATTTGGTGTTATTGAAAAATATGGGTTTAGAGTCATTGTGTTTTCTGTAGGATTCATGCTTGTAGTGATGGCTCTGGTACCTTGTGTTCCTTGCAACATTTCCCTCATAGAGTCCCTCTTAGGATCTCTTGTAGGGCTGGTTTAGTGGTGATGTATTCCTTCAGTGTTTGTTTGGGAAAAACCTTTATCTTTCATTCTATTCTGAATGACAGGCTTGCTGTATAAAGGATTCTTGGCTGCATATTTTTCCTGTTCATCACATTGAAGATTCCTGACATTCCTTTCTGGCCTGGCAAGTT